GGTGCCCCTCCCCCTCTCCGACTGTGCCACGGCGCCGGCGGTCCGACGAATGCGTCGAATGCTCCAGGTCATGGCTGCTGTGCCGGGTCATACTCACAAACGGTCGCTTCCAGGAGACGTTCTCGCTGGTTCGCCCGCTGAAGTACAGGCTGGTGTCACTCGGAGGGAACTCCGAGTCCTCGAACAGATCTCCGTCGGACAGGGAGTCCAGCAGCCTCGGCACGTCCCCGACATTCTGAAGCGCCGACCACATGTGTACGCTTTTGGCCTGTCCCGGCATGCAGGCCGTTTTATCGCCTGCTCAGAACGTTCCGAAGGACGCTGAGCACATGCACACGATGCCCAGGGAAGACAAAGGTACATCACGAAAAATAGAAAACAGATCTGAACGCTCTGAAAATACTACCCACCAGACTGTCTAAGCAAGGCAACTTGCCTCTATTACCAGCTATCTGTCTGGCACGGTAGCGGCGGTGTCGGCAAAGCGCACACAAAGGCACAACATGGTCGGGCGCGTCCCACCCGGGCCGCCTTACGTTGAGGCCCAGGGTGCCACCGTCGAACTCCGCCTCGGGCTGCTCGTACTCGCCCTCCTCGCCCGTCTTCGGCCGCTGCTGACAGCTATCCTGGCACTGCACCTGCAAGTGCGCCACGTGACGTCAGGGCTGCGTCAGACAACGCCGCACCTCGACAGAAAATACAGGGAAAGCAAAGTCTTGAAAACCGCCCGTTAGCCCCGTACGACGTGAGATCAAATGATTAGGCAGAGGCTACAAACGGAAATGCGGCAAATGCCACAAAAATACAACCTTGTTATCACTTTTACCACAGCCCGCCAGGACTTCCCCGCCATGTGTTTTGAAACGGCGGCGGTTATCTAATTAATGCAGTGGTTGCCGGGACGGCCGCTGCGTCAGAGCGCGAGTGTTGATGCGGCGTCAATGTCGGCCGCGGCAGCCAGATCGATGTGGTCCGCGTCACCGGCGCGGCTGGGCACCACGACGGCCGCCGCCGCAAAGTCGGCACATTCATCACGGTGACACATCGGAGCGGCAGCCTATACGCTGGCGTCATGACCTTACCGGTATGCACCTGCGCCAGGGCTCATTTGGTTTGGGCAGGCGACAGGTTGAGCCAGAGCGGGGGGGGGGGGGGGGGCGAGAGGGGCGAAAGCAATGCCTGTAGATGTGGTTGAACGAGCCAGAGACACAGCCAGGCTATTTGCCATGTTATACATATTTGCAGTACAAGGAAACAAACCACACACAGGAGGAGCGTATCGCGAATAAGAAACACAGTAGAGTGTACGAGGTATGTGCGTACGCATGGGCGCCTTCTCTTCTATCCGTGAAAGGGCTCAGCAAGCATTCTCTGCGTGCATCGAGCGTTCCATGCATGCTGGTGATGGCGCCTGCCAGATATGATGCGTACCTCCAGCGGCCAGTGCGCCAGCTGCTTTTGTTGGCAGAGTTGTCTCCCTGGCGCGTACACCATTCATTTTTTTTCGGTTTATTGGGTCTCCGACGATAGGTCTACAGGGAGTGTTCCAATATTCCCTGGAGCTCCCTCAAGTGAAGAACTGCTGGTCCGAGCGACAGAACGCCCCATACCGTACGACAATGGGCTGTCGGCGTCGCCCAACACTTGCCTGCGTATATGTTACTATGCAGTATACTGTACGCATCGTACCTGTTTGTTGAATGGCACGCAGAGTCTGGCTTTTAGTTATTTCTTTGAGCTTGGCATGTTAACTGACCATGTGCGGGTCATTCTGTGGAGAGTCTGCCTACCTTCAGGGTAACCCCTGTTAACCCGTCAAACGTTCGCCTTCTGTGTGCTGGCACGCCTGGATAACGTATTGAGTTTGACAGTAGTTATTTGGCGGCAGGGCTTGCGTCGTTGCGAAGGACGTTTGTTGGATTGGTAGGTGTGAGCGCACAGGGTTGCGACGAGCTGGGTGCGCATCTACCCCTGCGTCGATCATCTGCCGTCGTTTGCTTGAAGCGGGCGTTGTTCACCGGGAGCTCTCACTCAGTAGTTACCCGCTGTGATACATAGCAGGTGACGCGATGTCTCCAGGCGTTTGGTGATTTTGATACCACAGAAGTCTCTGAGCCGGCCTGGTCTGCTTCAGCCTGGCTCCCTACCGTTGATTTCTGTTTCAGCCTGGCTCCCTACCGTTGATTTCTGCTTCAGCTTGGCCCCTTACCGTTGATTTCTGCTTCGGCCTGGCCCCCTACCGTTGACTTTTGTCGTCTATGGGTGCCGCCGGCCATGTGCCGGCAGTGACGGGTCGTACTGCCAGGGGTGACGACTGCGCGACCGCATGCTCGCGGCGCGGCACACCCTAGTACACAAACGGCGCTCTGCTCTCCAGCGGCCACGCCGATGGCTCAAAACTCTGTAATGTGGAACTGTGACTTGTCGTTGTATAGAATCCTGCCACTCCTCCAGTGCGGACCAAATGGCTGTGGTGTTAAGCAGCGGGCCGTGAAGACAGTGTTAATACTTTCACGTGTGGGAGTGCGCATACACGCACGGCAAACCCAATCCAACTGTAGTACGATGGGGAGTGATTCCTACACGACGCTGTCGCTTCAAACGCCACGAGGTGGACAAATCATGACACATGCAACCTGCCAAGCGGATGGCCATGATCCATCTGAGTCCAAAGTGACAACACCAACACGGATCAAACGGGTAACGATTGCCATACAAAGCGCTGTGGGTAAATACGTTTTGAACAGTGTTCGCAACTAGCTGAAACCGCTCTAATTGAGCAAAACTAGTGAAGCATTTCCCTTGATGTGATGATGTTTTATGTAGTGAGCGTGGTATAATGCATATATATATATATATATATATATATATATATATATATATATGTCACACGCTCATGCCCCCTCCCCTCAAGCAGCTGCCGTCAAGCGGCTGCAGGTGCCGCGTGTTCGCACTAAGTTTGAGCGCAGCTTGTTCATGTTTTGGGCATCTAGTGAATGGAGCTCGTGGTTCGCAGACCCGCAGGTGTCAGCGGTCGCGAGCCAGGCGACATTTAGGACCATTCCGACCTCCTATTTGTCAAGTGGACGAGCACGTGTTGTCGTGTAGTGTGCCGCCTTCATCTGCGTTGTCTGCTTTATCTTCTGTAACTACTGTATGTACATCGACATGGAAGCTAGGAAATCCACTTTGTGGAAGCCCCTGAATACAAATCTACCTGTACGGGTAGTCATGTCATGACGTCATGTGACGCTAGTCATGACGTGAAATGCGATAATCGTCGGAGGCAGAATGATGGGATAACTCAGCAGAGTTCACCGTACTGCCCGTCGGCTGACATTCTCGTGAGCGCAACCAGTAAAGGAGCCATAGCAGCCTGCTGGTCCCCATTACTCCGCCGAACCCAGCCATCCTCTTCACCAGTTGCGATTCCGTCCCCATTCACACTTTGGTCCGGCACACAACTAGCACCGTATCCAACTTTGACCAGCCAGGTGTCCTGCCGTTCCCAGTTCTATTCGGTGTGATCGGTACCAGCCGCCCTTCCGTCCCCAGCTGGAGCTGTCCCCAGCCGCCCTTCCGTCCCCAGCTGGAGCCGCCCCGACCGCCCTTCCGTCCCCAGGTGGAACTGCCCCCAGCGCCCCTTCCATCCTCGGCTGGAGTCGCCCCAAGATGCTCTTCAGTCTCCAGCTAGGGGGCCGCCCCAAGCCGTTCTTCCGTCCTCAACTGGAGTCGCCCCCAGCCGCCCGTCCCCAGCCGGGGCTGCCCCAGTTACCCGCGGTCGGCCGCCGGCTCCGTCGTCCTCCACCACAGTGCTGGCCGGTGAGACGGTGATGCGGAACTTCTGCTTGTTTGGCAGCGTGATGCGGTCGTCGTACACCTGCGGGGCGCGCCGGCCGGTGCCAGTCACACACGCAGCGGCCCGGCACAGTGAGCAAACGCGCGGGCGCCGGCGCATGCAGCGGCCGCAAGCCCCGCAGGCGGAGGCGGCCGGCCGAGGGCTACAGGGCAGGGGCAGAACCGGGACGACACTCCACGGTGGGCCAAACGAAGCGATCTCTGGGTGGCGGCAAGCAAAAATGGCCACAAACAAAACGCGGTGCGGCATACTGCATCGGGTGATGAAGCCTCAGCGTCTGGGGGCGGTGCCGGCGCGGCAGACCCACCTTCTTGGACGTGTCGTCCTCAGAGACGCCGCCGTTGACGTCGCCCACCACCGGCGACGACGCGGAGCTCTGCCCGCAGCCCATGGTGGCGGCCGGCGGCTCCCCGCCCGGGCGCACACGGCCCGGCGGCACGTGCGCTCTGTCCGGCGGCGCGAGCGCCCTGTCCGGCGGCTCGTGCGCTCCGTCCGGCGGCGCGAGCTCGCCGACCGGCGACGCGAGCTAGCCGTCCGGAGGCGCGAGCTAGCTGTCCGGCGACACCAGCCGACAGGTCGTCCACAGCGACGCGCAGGGCGGGACTGCGGGTGCGCGATCCGACCGCCTACGCCCACCGGCCGCCGCGCTCTAGGCCGGCCTGGCACGCCTGGACGGGGCATCGATCGACCGGCGTGCGCGCGCGCGCGCGCCTCCCTGAGTGTACGGGCCATGTCGCCATGGCTGCTCGGTGGACAATGCCGCGCCATTGGCGTCGGAATCGACGGTCAATGTCACGCCGGTCAGCGCCGCGCCGCCGGTCGCGATCGCGACGGCGTCACGTCACGGGCCGGTGAACCGATGGCCGGTCTCGCACCGTCACGGGCGACCCAATGTTACTGGTCGGCGTCCCATCACTGGACCGGCCACGACGACCGGTCTGCTTTAGGGTCCAGGGCTGCGACCCCCGCATACCTTCATGCTTTAGTGGCGCGCTTCAGAGTCATGCCACGCGACCGGCTGCCACCCCAGCAGCCCGTTGGTCAGGGAGGCTGGCGCACCTCCGATGATCTCGTTGCCAGCCGTACAGGGACCGGCCGCTGGACAAGCTTGTCCACCAGGCTCGATGTGAACAAACGCAAATTATGCGAAATTATTTATTTCTACACCCACTCTGACACACCCCATCCGTGCTACGGCAGCCCACGCCAGTACAAAGAAGCATGGGCGGCGGCCCCCTTTAGCGCGGCGGGGACGGCCGCCGGCCTAACGCCCTCACCTCAGCGACTGGCTCACGGATACGCTCGCCGGACAGTCTGACGCAACACCGGGAGCCTGTCGGCACACATGGATCACGCAATGCCAAGCCAACTTAAGTGCGACAAGGCACGGGTATTTCCAAAACGTAGCCAGCCGGCCGGCCGATTATCCACGTGGCGACAGTAAGCCGAAAATCAATACCGACGTGAGCATACCAGCGCCAACATATCGCATATCAGAGCACGGTTGAACCGTTGGATAACATTGTTTCCACCACATCTGTGACCAGCCCCAGCCTTCACAAGATGCTCAATCGGACTGCAGTTACAGCAAGTCACAAGCAGTCGAGCACTCCATACCTGCTCCACTACAATCCCTGCCACGAGCGACCCTGGCGGCGCCGGTCGCAACCTCGGGTTCGGCACCGCACCGCCAGACGGCTACTGGGTCAGCGGGCCCCAGAAGAACTTAGAAGGCCGCGTTTCGTCCTCAGTCAGGAAGAAGTCTTTGCCGTGCGCCACGAACTCGTCCAGCGTGATGGTGCCGTCCCCGTTGACGTCGATCGAGTTGAACGACACGACGGCGTCCTGCGGCGGAGCAAGCCTTTGTGAGCAGCGAGACGCACCCCGCGCAGACGCTAACACCAGCACACGCTGGCCGGAGCGGTGCGCCGTTACACGTCACATGCGCCGTTACATGTGACATGCGCCGTTACACGTGACAAGCGCCATGGCATGTTTGAACGTTCAGCCGCAGGCGCGATGGAGCCAGACTTACGAGAGAAACCATATGAACCACATGAAGACGGCGACCAGACTTACCGGGTTAGTCACGTGCTGACAGCCGTTCTTCTCGCCAGCGGCGAGATGAGGCTGGCAACATGACCAGTACCACGGCATTAAACGGGCCACAACGCTGCTGATTCCCGCCTAAATAAAGCAGGTCACTGGGGCCACCCGGCCGGGCGGCGGCGGCGGCGGCGGCGGGGGCGGGGGCGGCGGCGACCGACACGGCCGTGGGGTCGGAGGGATGGACGGGGGCGCCGCCGCTGCCGGGCAGCTCACCTCCTCTGTCAAGCCCAGACACTTGAAGAGCAGTTTGTACTCGTCCACGGAGATGTCGCCGCTGGCATTGTAGTCGACCGCCTGGGGCGAGCCAGCACGGTCCATCAGCACAACGGTCGAGAGGGCGGCGGACAGCGCTGGCCGAACAGTTACGCAACAGCCCCCCCCCCAAAAAAAAAAAAAACGCAGCGCACAAGTCTATCGATGAGTTGCAGTGAGTAAGCGAGAGTGAAGGGAGCGCCCGCCAATGGTACCGAGTGGTGATACCGAGGGGCGCATGAGCGCACCCAAGATGGATATGCCAAACGGACCGTCAGGAAATCCAGACCAAGCATCGCCATTGTGTTAATGTTTCACGACTTTCACAGCGAGGGCGCTCCGAGCCTTCTCACCCTATGCTCATGTGACATCTAACAAGCGAACGTGAATCGCTGACGAATGTGATAAAGCATTACTTGCACGAGACAAGGACAGAGAACGCAGGCCACACATAAGCACGGTGAGCGAAGAGTGATGGTCGCATATGTCATAGAAAACCTACCATCATGTATCATGTAATGTCAGTCAGCAGCCAAATACCATTAGCCAGCCACCACCACGAGTCAAAGCGCCTGTGTCCGCAGTGCTGTCGACTTAGTTCCCGCTGATCACGACCTGAGGCCAGCCAGGTCGTGCCAGACACCCTGCAGGCGCCGGACAGCGACCCTGCAGCAGCGGGCGCGGCCACGGGGGCTACCTTGAACAGGTAGGGTAGGAAATGGTCCGTCTTCTTGCTGAGGTCGCGCGTGTTGACCACGTGCTCCATGGATGTGAGCAGCGCCTCCTCCGTGATAAAGCAGTACGGGTCACCCGAGGCGCCCCAGTTATTCTCCCACACAAACTGAAAGAAATACGCTCCGTCTCAGCGACCAGGCTTTCTAGCCGTCGTCAGCGCAAACTACAGCACCGCACTGCGTCACCAACACGCAGCAAGGTTCGTCTTGGCGCAGGATAGCCTTTGCTGTCATCATCTTCGGATGTCCGCGTTACAGTATTCAACAACAACACTTCCGAGGAGCTCACCACCGCAGGGCAATTCCTGCCATCCGCAGGGCGTCAGCGGACACGTCAAAAGACCGGTGGGGCGCGCGGAGCCGGTGCTGGCAGAGGGCCGGCCCGTCTGACGTCCGCGGAGCGAGCGGCAGGCGTATCCCCCCCCCCCCCCCCCCGCTACCGCGGAGGCCAACACTGTACCAGGGCGGGGAATTCCTACGGGGCCGTCACGGTCAGCTGACGCACTGTGCTGGAGCGAAAAAAAAACTGGCACAACTGTCAGGGGAGGTAGACGCTGTCTGAACATGTAGAGTTTCTGCACTGCTGCCAGCGGCGACAGACACTGTACCAGCGGCGACAGACACTGTACCAGTGGAGACACACTGTACCAGCGGCGGCAGACACTGCACCAGCGGCGCCAGACACTGTGCCAGAGGCGCCAGACACTGTACCAGCGGCGACAGACACTGTACCAGCGGCGACAGACACCGTACCAGGCCGAGCGATCCTGTGCTGTTGCCAGGGAAGGCTACGACTCTGCACCAACACAGAGGAGACCCTTCACTGCTGTCCTAATTTTAGTGCGTGGTCGACCGGCCGGCGGACCGGACGCCGTGACGCGCCAGCACAGGTGAACACGAGCACCGCCCAGGGCGGCGCGGCAGCGACCGGCGGCTGGCCAGCACAGGTGAACACGAGCACCGCCCAGGGCGGCGCGGCAGCGACCGGCGGCCGGCCAGCGCCGTCCGAACACGCGGACGCCGTCCGCAGCTTCGAAGCCATGCATGAACACTGCGCCGGCAAAGGTGGCGGCGAAGGATGACATTTCATAGGTCACAGGCCAACCACCCCACGGCGGGATGGGGGGTGGGGGGCTGCGGGAAACCCTGACACGCAGAGGAGGCAGGGCTACGGGACGTATCAAAACTGTGTTAATGAGTCTCTGGAACTCTGATACGTTGACCACGAAATATCGGTGGGTCAGGGAAGGCCAGGAACACAGTACAGACGCGACACGAAGCTACTGTGCCATCATTCAATGAGGACCAGTTGGGAGTCCATCGTGAACAGCCGCATCAAGGCCTCAACCAACGACATTTAATCCTGAATTAAATCTGGAAAACAGGGCTGAAGACCCTTCGAAATATCTCAAAAATCAAATGAGTTAAAGCCACGCAGAGCGGCATTGGAAAGCTCTCGTCAAACTCCATAAGCATGTTTGTCCCAGCAATGATGAATGCGACCTTTGACAGGTCAAACTAGATCAAACGGGACAGATATGCCCCTTACAGACCCCTCCTGTTATCTCAAAACTAAGCATACCACAACATGCGAAAGACGCCTTGAAAAGCTCTTCAAAAACTTCAGATAGGCACTGACGGACATTGACCAATGTGACCCGTAGTGTCATGCCAGGTCAAAGAGGTCAAGGCGATTCTCTCATCAGTCCGTCCGGATATATCACAACAAGCCAAATCACTCGGCAGAACAGGGTCAGAAGGGCATTGCCGAGTCGCAGGCTGTGAGCCACAAAGGCTCATACATATGGCCATCAAACGGGCAAGTGTGTTCACAAAGGTCAAAGTTTGACCAAGCTTGACCTCGGATGGCCATGCATTTTAGAAGTCACCAGAACGACAGTGCTGCGTTCCCCTGGGATAAAGATCGGAAGATAAGCTTAAGAACCCTGTTAAAAGTGCATCCCTTGCCAGAATACACTTCATTTGTCGCCCCTGACGAAAATATCGGCGACACTACCTCAAGAGAGCGGTCATAGATCTTGAACTATTAACGTCAAAACCTGTGAATCTCCACAAAATGTGTTTGGAAATTTTGTTAACGCAAGTAACCAAAGTTCCATCACCGTGCTATGGACCGTTTAGAAGCCATTCCGGAAAACCCAATGGAGGACTCTGAGCCCTCCTTCGCAGGGGCCGGTACACGCTGTCGAATGACACACTCAAGTTGTGCAAGGGAAAACGGGGGAGGGGGGGGGGGGCAAGTACAAAAGCAGTCAGGAGAACATCTATGGAGCATGGTTTATCGGCATCAGTTATATGCATCTGACATCCTGCATCCTCACATTATTAGTCAGCAGGGTTTACAGGAGATAGGTGATTTAATTAAACATTGATATTAGTTCCGGGTTTGTGTTGGACCCAGAGCACCAGCCTGCTGTGTGTCCGGCAGCAACGTTTCCTTTGGCACAGGCTCAAAGGTACCTCACTAGTTGGCTGACAGCATTATCCAATTCTGCAGACATGCCAGGTGCCACGAAGATTCGTCAAAAACAAATCGCAACAAGAAAATACATCGCGAATGCTTGTTGTAGTCCCTCATCCACATTCCTCCTACGGCAGAGCACCACCAAGCCCCCCCCCCCCCCCCCCTGACGAAGTTATCTGCACTGAAGACCGCCCGCTAGCACCATTGTCATCCAGACGGGCGACGCAGCCTAACCAACACAAACAGGCGGCGCATCCCCGCTGACCAGCTCAATCGGGTTGCCTGTTCTCGATGACACGGGGAAAACGGCTCATGCGCGACTGCCATTTTTTATAGATCGCCGGCCCCATATGGCGTGCAAGTGACAGGACCAGCGTCGGGCCCACAAAAACCGCGAGCCGCCGCCGGCCGTCTGGGCCTGACGCAGCTTACCACGGCCGCCGGCCCGACGCGTGCGGCCGGGGGCGCGCGGACGCGGGCCGCACCGGGGCGCGGCGCGGCCGGCGCGCGCTGGGCGCACCTTAAGCTGCGCGACGAACTCGGCCTGCTGCTGCTCCGACAGGTGGCCCAGCTCGGCGAACTTGCGCGCCATGTCCTGGAAGTCGTCCCAGCTGACCGTGCCGTCCTTGTTGACGTCCATCACCCGGTGGTAGGTCCGCATCTTCTTCTGCCAGATCGCCGACGAGCCCTGCGCGGCACACGGTCGGCCCGCGCGGTCAGTGACCTGCGCCAGCCGGCGCCGCCACGTGCGCGCAGACCACGTGACCGGGCTGGCGCGCGCGTCGGGACGCAGGCACGACAAGAGCACGCCTGTGCAGAGCGCGAACCGAGGCGAGCGTTGGCGATCGTCTCGGGTGGAAACCAGTCTATCACACACTCTCCCTCCCCCTCTCTCCCTTCCTACACGCAAGAAAAAGACTCGCAGTTGGCAGCACCTGTGCAAACCAACGCACGAATAGGTCTGTCCGTGCATACATACAGCCACTTAAAGGGAGCGAACCCATTACGAAATCGTTTCAGAACTCGATGATTAGAAAAGTTGCATTTGAACTATTACTGCAATTACAGTTAAGTCATTCAAAAACCATCTAGACAATTCGGTTAGTTAAAGCGCCTGCCCTGGAATTCACCCACTCGCAGCGGCTGACTTGGAGTTGTTTCAGGTGCTCGTTATTTATCACTGACTGGGTGGGCCTACGGCTGGTGGCTACGGCTGCAGCGCTTAAGGTCAGGTGACGTCAGAGGGCAGGATGAACCGTGACAAGCATCGCAGTACGTTCAGCCTTCGCCGCAAAAATCTGCTGTTTGCATAGAACTTCACGATCGGATGGTGGGGTCAGGACCTACGTAACAAGCGCTTCCTAGCGTTGGAGCTGGTTCTTGAAATGCATCCAATCAAAATGTTTGGGTTGGGTTCAATCTTAGAAATGTTGTGGCACGCGCTCCTGGTTCATTGTTACTTTTTCACATGACCGCTCGTCAATTCTGTCAAGTTTCTCTTTGGCATGAACCTTACGGGAGGCCAGGACGCGGCAGCAGTATTGGCCGTGATACCAGTGATTTGCGTCAAAGCGTAACAGATGAAGACAGCACGCAAAAGTGGCAACTATCCGTTAATCGGTATTTTCTGCGATTAAAACCCACATTCTGACGTCACAACGCACTGCTCGGGCATGAAAAGATCAATTTGGATCAAGTTTTGGTGGGTCGTCGAATCCTTTAAGATACAACAGTGGCATGCTTAAAACGCATTCACTCAATCACACACGCACAAAGTAACACACAAGCAGCACACAGACACGGAAAAGGTGTCGAATTGAAGTAATCCAGGCACATTCGACGCGGAGAACGAGCAACAGGACAGTCCACAGTGCCGCACGGTTACCGTGCACCTGCGACACTGACCCGCTTCCCATAGGGCTTCCTGCCGTCCACCTCCTCATCAGAGGAGTCCGAGTCGCTCGACGAGGACGACGAGGACGACGAGGACGAGGACGGCTGGCCTCGAGGCGTGGGCGGCTTCTTGCCGGACGAGCAGTGGCGCTGCTGGGCGAACAGCACCTGCAACAGCCGGCAGGAGGGTGACGGTCACGCGCTCTTGACGCAGCACAGCCACCGGCGCCTAGTGGCATGCAGTTCGGTCGCACAGCGACGAAAGTCACAGCGGCGAGCAGTCACGCGCCCTTGCGCTCTCGACGCAGCACAGCCACCGGCGCCTAGTGACAGGCAGCTCGGTCACACAGCGACGAAAGTCACAGCGGCGAACAGTCACGCGCTCTTGCGCTCTTGACGCAGCGCAGCCACCGGCGGCTGGTGACATGCAGCTCGGTCGCACAGTCACGACATGTGCGGCACAGTACCTTTTCACAGCATAGCGCTGTTTTCTTTACAATACCGAGGACTGTGCAGCCTCGAGCACGCGTTGAATGTGCAGTTGCTTAGAACAATTTTTTTCAGATTTTCACCAGAACAAATCAATGTGCGCCGTTTCTGCTCGGCGATACCAAACAAATCATTAGATTAGTTCATTCAGCGAATTGCAGCAAGGCTATTAGATTAGTTCATTCAGCTAGGCGCAGCAAGGCTCACAGACTATCAACAACTAAATCGGGCTGCAGAAACGTCTTTCCTAACCGCAACGCCAGGGCCTATGTTATACACATGACATGCACGGCATATCTTCAGCATCTGCCGCCAAGGTTTTCGCAGGAAATCTGTCCAGACCGGGCCAGGCTACCGTTGCAGTGTTGTGCAGCGCAGCCGGGCCAACTCTTCCCGCATGAGAGGATCTGTCGCGACTGGACCGGACCGGTCCTGCAGCACGCAGCGAGCCAGCAGCCCGCTGGCCGGACCCCTGGTGTGCAGCAGCACGCCGCGAGGCAGGCCTGCACACGGCGCAGGACAGGGGGGGGGGAGGGGGGAGGGGGCCGGACGTGAACGCGTCCCCATAGCTGTGGCTTCAAACTGCCAAACATATATCTAAACACAGAGACGAAGAAAAAATATGGATGAATATTTAACTCATAATTATATCTATACAATTATACGCACCTATCCATATATATATATATATATATATATATATATATATATATATATATATATATATATATGCCGTTCATTATATCTTATCATGCGGATTGGCGCGCGGGGCCAAACAGACACAATTCAATATAGTCCTGGCGCTCTCATGAACGCGAGTGAGCAGTCACCCGTGCAGAGTACCAGACAGTTCACTTCCCTACAGATCGCGAGCCTCATATCGCTGGCCTGTGCACATAACACGTCCGACGTCCAAGAAAATTCCAGTAACACTTCATACATCCCTCCATCGTGCACCGTAAAAGAGCTGAATTCCTGTCATACCAAATCACTGACCTAGGGTCATTCAAATACATTCGAATTCCTTAAAAAAACAGTTCGAGTGCCATGGCGTACTGCAATCGCTTGGTGGCAAAAGTACATCAAGGTGACCACTTAACGGTTGCAACGATTGCCCTATTTCGAAAATTCGACAAATGTTTAGGTGTTTAACCTAAGGTCAGGCCTTCTTGTCGTTATTTTAAAGCTTAGCGGGGAAATTACTGAGCCCGATGGAATTTAAGCGGTCATAAAGTGTTGTGCAAACATAAACATCTGCTTCAAGAATACCACTACCCCGAAAAACCATGAAGGAGATAAGGTCAAACATGATCATGACCTTTCATGTCGCTTTTATAAGGAGCAGCTTGCTGTTTCTTATGGACACACATTGAAACGATTTGATAAATATCCGGCAGCGCTTCAGACATCACTGAAGCTAACCAAGCTAGTCAAGGTACAATGGTTTTCACCCAAACCGACTTTATTTGACCTGATATGGTCTAAATTGTTTGAAACTTGATTTTGAAACAAGAAACAAACACTTTGTCCGCTTACATTTAAACAAAATACAAATACTCTTGTGGCATTTAACATGGCAATTAAATGTGACCTGATGTCAGGTCAGCAAAAAACAAATGGGCTCACTGTCATCTACTACTTTCTTACCTCATTTAGATTTAATGCCTTGCCGGATTTTTTCTTGGCGAGACTCCTCCAATTTATTTCAACACGTCATCATGTGTATCAAATATTCATGTCTGCGCTGATTTGACCTGGCTGCGGCTGAATGGGTTTGTCGTATGTAAAAAATCAAGTGAGTGGCATATGCATGCAACGATTTTCATGAGCCCATTTTTGGTCAAACTGATCACATCATACATCATACCTATGGTCAAGTCGAACTGGCTCGGCATGACCATGCGTCGTAAGTTGGCTCATTCTGGCACAGAATGCTCATGTATGCTACAGGGCCAAACCCCGTCATCCAACCATGTGACGGCACATCCGATCATACCCCAACGCCTGATTACCGCCGACCCCTTTTTATTGACCAGTTATTTGACCTCATATGACACTCTAGTGTCTCAGTGAACCAATACTGAACATGTTGTGTGGTGTATTTCCTCTACAACCTTCAATAGACACTGAGACCTGTCATTGCTCGAAATTCAGTTTAATGAGTGCAAAGTAAAAAAGCAAATAACTTACCCTATTATATCTCGTGACTTTTTAGTGACCAAAGGTGAAATCACGGTGTGCTGCGAGGCCTACTCGACGCGGGCTTTCACAATGTGCCCATTTTCTACCGGACATGGTTCTCGAGAGCATGGGAGGGGATTTTCGAAAGCTCCACCTCCCGGACCGGGCGAGTACGTTCTGACCAGTCGGTAAGCAGCAGGGTGCTTTTCCTGGCACACTGTGCCATACCCTGAGACATCAGACCCTGAAAATGGCGTCCTTGTGCTGACGCCAACATTACTTGTGCCGGCCCAAAATAACAATCCTTAACGTCAGCCAAGGTTTCAGCTTCGCGCGAAATTTAGAGACCGGTTCAGTTAAATTTACAGGCACACAGCTGACCTTGAGCTAGCCGCGCGGCTGCTGGCGGAGCCAAGCCCGCTAATATTGCCCACCGCTGCGACGGAGCACCGCACTGCGGGCACTATTGATCCAGGACTGAACAAAGGTCGCCCGGAGGCGCTAGACGAAGGGGGAGAGCACGTGGGGAAACGAACAGGGGGGCGGGCGGGACCTCGAGGGAGAGCCTAGAGGGCTGAATCAGGAGGGGGAGCGGCCTGCAACGTCGGCCCACCTCCGCCGCACTCAGGGTATGGCGGCAAACGCGGCGCGTCTGCCGCCGACTCCACAACCACACGCTTGAGCCCAGGAGGCTATGCGCTCTACTACAAGACAATCCACAGCCAGGGAACGGACCAGTGGTGGCGCAGAAGCAGTAGCAGTGGAAACGGCGTGGCAGGGGGGGGGGGGGGCAGAGGTCACTCAGGCAAATCATATAACATGCACTTGACGGCCTTGCATGACAAAACACGGCGTATAAATAGCATTTTTCCCGCATCTCTACAGAGGATACATCAGGACTGACGGCGCATAAGCACTGAATTGTTGCGTCGTGGATGCGTTCATCCGACAAACTGCCGCGCTGCAGCTCAAAGCTCGTGCATGGAGTGGCGCTCGTGACGCGGCGATGGGACGACAAAAGAAGTACGTGGACGTTCTCATTCTCGTTGATAGCTTTGCACATTCTAGTCCGTATTTTCCGCGCTCACCTCCACTTTATGCGCAATATTTTTATGGTTCATAAACACGTCTTTTGAACAATGAACAATTTCATGAGCAATGTCATTTTGCGTTAAAGCAAAGTGCAGTGTACGGTAGCCGAAGAGGCGAGTGGCGTACCAGTCACTTCACGCCGCATGTACTTCACACAATTAGTTCATTTAATACGCTAATCCATCCTTACTCTTTGATGTAATATGGTAATACATCCTTACCCCGCATGTACTTCAAACAATTAGTTCATTTAATACGTTAATCCATCCCACCCCGTCTGCATTAGGGGGCGGCATGCCTGCACAAAGAACAAGGCATAAAGCAAGTTACCCTGGCAATACTGGCAGTTAACTGTGAGTGACGCAGTCCTTTGCCAGCATTAGCAGTAAGCTGTGAGTGACGCAGTTTTTTTGCCACAATTAGTAGTAAGCAGTAAGTTAATGATTTCGCTCTCAGTGCTTAAGCACGCTCGCCACGGATGCGACGCCCCAGCTGGATGTCCTTGGGCACGATGGTCACCCGCTTAACGTGGATGGAATACAGGTTCGTGTCCTCGAACAGACTGACCAGGTGCGCCCCGCTAGCCTCCTGTAGAGCCATGATGGTGCTGCTCTGGAAGCGGAGGTTTCCCTCGGTGCTGCGCAATCTCGCACATCAGGCGCTGGAACGGCAGCTTGCGAATGAGCAGCTCCGTGCTCTTCTGGTAGCGACGGATCTCGCGAAGAGCCACCGTGCCCGGACGGTAGCGGTGAGGCTTCTTGACGCCGCCGGTGGCCGGCGCGCTCTTTCGAGCCGCCTTCATGGCCAGCTGCTTGCGCGGCGCCTCCCCGCCGGTAGACTTGCGTGCGGTCTGCCTTGAGCGCGCCATTTTTCAAGTCGCATCAAATCATATCACATCGCGCAGACCCCTGACCGAAGGAGGTGGTGGCACGCCAGCCTATTTCTTGGCAGCCGTCTTCGCGGCGGTCTTCTTGACCAGAAACTTTTTTGGCTTAGGCGCCTTGGGCTTTTTGGCTTTGGTGAGCTTGGCCTTCTTGGTCTTGGCCGGTGACTTGGTGGCCTTCTTGTTAGCCGTCTTCTTGTTGGCTTCTTGGGCGTCTTCTTGACCTTAGCCGAGCCTGCAGGCTTCTTCTTGGACGATTTGGACGGCTTCTTAGCGGGCTTGTCCTTCGTAGCGGCCGGTAGCTTGACGGAACCGCTGGCACTTGTCCTGGGTCTGCACAAGCGCACCGCTGGTCGCGCCGGGCTTGAGAGCCCACTTGATGAAAGGTGCCAACCTCTCAGCGTCGACCTTGTAGCTGGCGGCGATATACTTTTTGATGGCGATCAGCGGCGACCCGCCGCGTTCCTTGGGTGGCATCCTGATCAGCAAACAGTTGTGGCCGCGTGGATCCCAAACGTGGCTG